AGCGGCAGTGACGGGTAAGACAAAGAGAAGGCGAGATAAAGGGATAGGAACAAAGGGAAAATAAGTGATGGAAAACAAACCATAAGTAAAGCACAACAAGTTCCAACAATTCCACTATAAAAGCTGCATATTTCACTGTAACACCATCTCTTTGACGGATGTATTTTGGCTTTCTACTGACCACTTAACTGACCAAGGCTGAATACATTCAGGATTTGGAGAGAAAATGAAGGACGCTTGGCTTTTGATGTCACATCCGCATCACTGTGACTAGAATAGAATAGATTCTTCCTTGGATGTGTGACAGGTCGTAATGTATGCCCACTCATTGCTCAGAAGGGACGGATAGACAGATGGTATTGATCCAGAGCGCTTGCACATACACATACACACAATATATGAGAGACAGTTTCATTTGGTTATTTTGTTGTTTTATGTGGTGTAATATTAGATAGATAGATAGATAGATAGATAAGATATGACTAGATTAAGATAGATTAGATAGATAGATAATAGATAGATAGATAGTAGATATTAGATTAGATAATGATAGATAGATAGATAAAGGTGAAGCAGTAGCTCTAATCCTTATATTAGACTCGGTTGTACAGTGCTTCAGATCACTTATCTTTCTAATTGGATGCCCTTTTCAGAGACTTGTGGAGTGTTCACTAAGACAAATCGAGCACATCTCAAATGGCTATATTATCCAGGACCATTATCAGCCATTTTCTATGATAACTTGGTGAGTAAAGTGCCGTTTTTTCTCAGGAATGGCCCTTGTTATGATCATCATAGCTTATCAGCCTCACGCTGGATCCATACTGGGACTTAATTTTAGTGTAATACTGTATCAGTATCATTCGGCAAGTGCTGAACTGGAGTGGTGCTGTTGGTGGTGCAGAGGATTATCCAGATTTATCCCTGCCAATGTCCTTTGAAAGTGGGCCAATACCATGTATTTGTGTGTTTCATCTGGCACATTCCTGTTGTACCTGCACCAAGCTAAACTGTGGTTGAAATAAAAAGGAAAATAAACCCGGTGTACTTGCAGGCATGTGCATTAAGGTTACTGCATGCTATGTGCACAGCTAGAGCTTGTTCAAGGTCACCACAGCAGTAGAGATCGGATAATTCCTACATGACGCTGGTGGCCAAGCTGGCGTGAAGTCACCACAACAAACTATACTTTAATTCCTACATCACAAACCTTATAAGCCACTGCCACTACGGAGGTCAGGGGTCAAAGCCACAGTGCCCTGACAGAAGATAATATTTCCGTGTTCGTAGAAAGATCAATTGTATTATTACTATTGTAAGAAAAGAAGCTAATGTTTGTAGTGAAAAATTAGAGAGTAAAATTCAGCACGTTCAAATTGTCCCTCAACAGAGAAACTTTGTTGTTTCTTGATGTACACCTGTCATCCCTACCTCTCAAAATAACTTATCAATAACATTATAATAGCTACTGGTTACATACTTGAATTTGCCAGATGCTTTAAATAGTTTGCCAACAAGCTGTCATAACAGTATGTATTTAATTCCAAGTCTCATATAACACTATGTGACAGGATCAGGTTCCACTCCAAACCTAATGCTGCACACACTGTACACACACACTGTGTCACACTGCTGTGGTTCATGCCAAACAACACCATCCCAGGCAGGTTTAAAAAGGTGCCAACCAGCCACTAAAACACCCAGTGGATGGATTTGGTTTGTTTATACATTCTCACAGCTGACCAGTGCATTTAAAGAGTTAAAATCAAACTAGCTTGTTAAACAGCTACAAAATTCATTCAATTTAACAACCCGATAGCAGCTGCAGGTGGACAAAAAACTAGCTTTGACTGTGTTAAAGCCAGTTTATCTCTGCTGTGGCTCTAGTCCAAACCTTATGCCACTCCCTTAGTCAGTGCACTGTATTACAGCTGTTCTCTAAGCATAATGCTACAACCTAAGTCACTGTATTATGGCTCCATTCCAAGCCAAACGTTTTAACCTCAGTGAGTGTATTAGGTCTCCATTCAAAGCCAAATCCCCCCCCCCCCCCCCCCCCCCCCCCCC